TCATGCATTTTCTGTGCTTAATTTGTATCACCTGTTGTATGTCACCCCTAGAGCTTAAAAATAATCATTTAATCTTCCTAACATCATGTATTCAGAAGTTGTCTGCATTAGCAATAATGATCTCTGCTTTGTATGTTGCAAGTGCAGTACTACTTAGAAGTAGGAAGCAAGGTCTACGGTGAACTCCTGTCTCCCATGAAGTCAAGAGCAAAACTCCTTAACTTCAATGGGACTAGGATTTCACTCCTGGAGTTTAAATTAGAGGACTGGGAGTTGAGAATCTCTCTCTAAAGGCTTAAGAAATCAAAGGTAATGCATTAGAATGAGGAATAGCTGCAATTACTTCAATTTTTATTGATTGTTTTGCTTTGACTTCTGGATGCAGTGAATTTTTTTTCTTCTGCACCTTTCTCTAATCTCACTAGTGGGCATGTATAGCTCATTTCTGCTTACTCACACTTGCTCTGAGGAGCTTACAGTGAAAGTAGCAAGGACTGGCTTTTTGGTGGCAGTTTTTTCTGGTGTGCCTAGCATAATGGATACTGATCTGACTGGAGTCCTTAGACAATACAAATAATAATAAAAAGAATCTTCATAGTCTTGAAAGGGATATTCCTTCACTCCATCAGAAACTCCCAACTAGATTTTCTTTTTTCCCCCTTCTTTAAAGTGTGTATTTTCACATCCAAAGTGAAGACAGAAAGTTTGTAAACTTTTCACCAGCTGTGATCTTAAGTACAAAGTTTCTGGCATGTTGTCTGGAAGTTTTAAAAAAGCAACATCTTTCTTCTGCCTTCCTGCACACACACCTATTAAAAGAAGCCTTCAGTGAATCAAAATAGTTGATTGAAGAAATGTCTTTATGGCTCATTGCACTCTACTTTTTTCCTCAGACTGATGGAAAATCCTACACAAGACTAAAGCTTTTGTATGTCCTGGTCTAAAGCAATTTGAAATAAAGCATTTTCACTAGGAGTCTGCAAAAATGCAGGTGATACTGTATATTCCTATATAGAATTTTTGGTAGGTCCTGGATGCTGATTTCTTGATAAGTTGTCCCACCATTGCAACTGGTGATCTTCCCAAGATGTAGTTACATAGTTCATATGAATTCTAATTCCCATCAGCTCCAGATGACATGACCCCAAACTTTTTAAAAATATATCTTTTCAAGAGAAGGTGTCCAGTTACAGCAGTGAAGCTTCATATTCCCCACCATTGACTTCCCATGTACAGTATTCTCTCAAAAGATGCCATAGGGGACTGTAGCAGAGCAATGACTCACTGGTGCAGCACCTCCTGCTGCTCATCTGGAAATTAGCCCTTTTACAGCATATGGAGCACCCTCTACAGACCAGTGTCTCACCTGCCGCTGGCCCCGTGTCCCTCCCAGCCCCCAGTGCCCTTTACCTCAGGGTTCTGCCCCAGAAGTGCCCCCACTCTCTGGGTCTCCCCTCCCAGGGGAACCCCCAACCCTCTAAAACTACCTTTCCTTAGTGGGTGCTGCCAGTCATCAGCTAGCCCCCTTCTCTGGGGGCAGACTGCTATCTGTCATGGTCACTCATCATTGGCAAGGGGTTAGACCTGCTGCCTTTGCCTATCCCTGGGCTACATCTCTGTAGCCCTAGTACCTTCTTTAGGCCTTTATCAAGGCCACAGCCTGGGGAGTTGCCAGGCTGGAGCCCCCCAGCTCCTCTTGCCCTTCCCCAGCACTACTGTACCTCTGGTACCCTACTCCCAAGCAGCTAGGTCCTTCTCTCTCTACAGCTAGAGAGAGACTACATGTTGCTCCTGGACTCCAGCCCTCTTATCAGGGCCAGCTGGGCCCTGATTGAGCTGGCCACACCTGTGGTCAGCTACTCAGTCAACTTCCCCCAGCTGTTCTCACTCCTCTTATTTCGGGAGCGGGGTAACCACCCCGTTATAGGGGCACTTTCATTAACATCAGATTTACAGGTAAGCAAGAGCAGAACCCAGAGAATAATGTTAAAAAAATTGTTTTTCACAACTTTTTTATGGGCCCCACAACTTTTTTGCATTGGTTGTTCAAGGCTGAAGGGGTAACATTTTTGCGCTCTTCTCTAACACTGACCCTCACTATCTCAGTTATGAGTGAATCATTGATTTGGACATTCTGTGTGGCACTGCCGTCTTCACTCTTTAGCCCACTGGCATAGGTAATTATTAGAATTATAGATTACCAAAAGATTGTATTATATATGAATACTAATTAAATTATTTCATATGGCGATCTTAAAACATTACCTGCCTGGTGTTTATGCTATACTGAGTCACACATTTGTAAGTATCTAAAAAATATTAATGAGAAGAATTGCTTTTTATATATTGTATGAATCAAACATTGCCAGAAAATTATCAGTATCTGTGCCAGAAAAGTCCTATAATTCACTGTTTTACTCTGAAAGCCCACATCTAAGGAGTTATTATATTACTGTTTATAACAGCATGAACAAGTACTCGGGGCTTCTGTCATAAATTATAAAGGGAAGGGTAAACACCTTTAAATCCCTCCTGGCCAGAGGAAAAACCCTTTCACCTGTAAAGGGTTAAGAAGCTAAGACATCCTTGCTGGCACCTGACCAAAATGACCAATGAGGAGACAAGATACTTTCAAAGCTGGAGAGGGGGAGAAACAAAGGCTCTCTCTAGCTGTGTGATGCTTTTGCTGGGAACAGAAAGGAATGGAGTCTTAGAACTTAGTAAGTAATCTAGCTAGATATGTGTTAGATTCTGTTTGTTTAAATGGCTGAGAAAATAAGCTGTGCTGAATGGAATGGATATTCCTGTTTTTGTGTCTTTTTGTAACTTAAGGTTTTGCCTAGAGGGATTCTCTGTTTTGCATCTGATTACCCTATAAGGTATTTACCATCCTGATTTTACAGAGGTGATTCTTTTACTTTTTCTTCAATTAACATTCTTCTTTTAAGAACCTGATTGCTTTTTCATTGTTCTTAAAATCCAAGGGTTTGGGTCTGTGTTCACCTATGCAAATTGGTGAGGATTTTTATCCAGCTTTCCCCAGGAAAGGGGGTGTAGGGTTTGGGAGGATTTTTTTTGGGGGGGGGGAAACGTTTCTAAGCTGGCTCTTTGCCCTGTTATATATTTGTTAGACACTTGGTGGTGGCAGCAATAAAGTCCAGGGGCAAAAAGTAAAATAGTTTGTTCCTTGGGGAAGTTTTAAACTAAGCTGGTAAAAATAAGCTTAGGGGGTTTTTCATGCAGGTCCCCACATCTGTACCCTAGAGTTCAGAGTGGGGAAGGAACCTTGACAGCTTCACAATCTATAACCCAAGAAGCTTATAAACCTAATAACAGACATTACATAAAAAGGAGGGATGTAGCAAGAGAGCAGGGAGGAGCTTGGAGGGAAGATCTGGAGTTAATACACTTAAGTGACTGAAAGTCTAATTTGTGTAACTACCAGCCACGTGCATTTATGCACGTGACGAGTATTGTTGATGTAACTTGGGTTCCTCACATGTAAAGTTAAGTATGTAGGTAAATGTTTGCAGGGTTCAGTCAGACTGTTTACATATAGGGACAGTGAGGAATCAGTGGATGTGGTGGGGTATCCAGTTATTTAAGTAATAGTTATCTTAACCAATCTATTTTCTTTTTTACATGCAAAAAGGTTTTGTGTACAATTTTAGACATGTAATGACTCTGTGTGTGTGTGTTGTACTAATCGCTTCTCAGATGGCTTTTTAACACTGTAATGCAAAATTAGCATCTCAGTTCTTTTTGTCTTGGTAGCAGGATATACCAGTATTATTTTCTTTGTATATATAGTAAATGTTGAGTATTGATATAGTTAGTCAATGTAATGTATTTCAGCTGAAGCCAAGGTCAGTTTTTAGAAGTGATTTCAACTAAAGATAAAATGACTACCAAGGCACTCTTAAAACATTGCTTTTGTGGGGAAATTGGGGTTGGAAAGAATGTAGCTTGAGAGGAAAAAAGTAAAAAAATAAAACCTTCTATCTATAAAGGATAGATGCCTCAAGTGTGATGCCAGCCTCTGTAATTTGTGACTGCCATAACACACATCATAGTTTTGTTGTGTGATATTTAGGAATGGTGGGCCTGATTTTTCAGTGGTGCTGAGCTTCAGCAGCTCTCTTTGACTTCACTTGAATGTGAGTGCTGTGAACCTCTGAAAATCAAGCCAAGTATTTCTTACATATCCTGTTATAAACTTGTATTATTATAATGTTGCAACAGATTATGTGGTATCTAGTTTCTCATAGTGTGAAAACCCTAAGACTTTTTAATGCGTTCCATCTCTCCCATGTGACCAAGCCAGTTTCTTCAAAGAAAAACAATGACAGAAAACACTGTTTAGTTTATAACAGTTTGAGTAAAAGAGTTTAACATCTAAAGTTTCAAAATGGGTATGTCTACACTGCGATAAAAGACCTGCAACATGACTGCATCTGGCCCAGGTCAGCTGACTCAGGCTCATGGGGCTCGGGCTGTGGAGCTATAAAATTGCAATATAGCTGTTTGGGCTTGGTCTGGAGCCCTGGCTCTAAGAACCTGAGAGAGAGGAAGGTCTCAGAGCCCAGGCTCCTGCCCAAGCCCAAATGTTTACATTGCAGTTTTTAGCACCACAGCCTGAGCCCCACAAGTCTGAGTCTGCTGATCTAGGCCCTGAGACTCAATGCTGTGGGTTTTCTGTCACAGTGTAGACATGCCCCTAGTTAGGGTTTGGAACAGTTTGTAGGATATTGTGTTCAAGTGCAGTCATAAGTGTTGTAGAACCATGCATACATGGTTATGGCCCTGTTGCCTACAGCAGTGGCTCTCAGCCAGAGGTCCGGGGCTGCTGGGGGGCCGCGAGCAGGTTTCAGGGAGTCTGCCAAGCAGGGCCAGCATTAGACTTGCTGGGGCCCAGGGCAGAAAACCAAAGCTGTGGCATGGGGCCCTGAGAAATTGCCTTGCTTGCTACCTCTAATGCTGGCCCTTGCTTTTATCCGCAGAAAACCAGTTGTTGTGGCACAGGTGAGCCATGGAGTTCTTATGCTGGGAGGAGCCTCAAAAAGAAAAAGGTTGAGAACCCTGGCCTACAGTACAGTAAGAGCATGTCTACACTGCAGCTGAAAGTGATCCTCCCAGTCTGGATCCACAGACTTGTGTTAGTGGTACTGACAATGCCCAGAGCCAACCATTGAACTGCAACGAAGGACTAGCCAGTCATGTGCTGATGACCTGTTAGAGGGAATCCACTCTCCCAGAGATTTCTCGGAGAGAGCACGTATTCAGTGGGGACTGCTTGAGCCCCATGTCACAGCAAGGATCTTTCCAGTAAGCTGGAAGTAAATATAAAAGAGGGAAAGTGACATCATCACTTGGCCTCTCTCCCTCCTCCCCCCACTCAACTCCTGGAAGAACATCTGGAGGACAAAGACTTTGAACTGGGGAAGGGTGATCCCAGCCTGTGTATTGAGGATCTGTAATCTGATTGTACCATCTGTCAGGGTGAGACACTGCTTGATTCAAATCCTGTTTAGTTTGTAGAACTTAGCAAATTTATTTTTATTTCTTAAGTAACCAACTTTGATCTGTACACTTGCTACTTATAATAACTTAAAATCTATCTTTCTGTGGTTCTCAAAGCCAGTCCGCCGCTTGTTCCCTTGGCCCGCGCCGCTTCCTGCAGCCCCCATTGGCCTGGAGTGGCCAACTGCGGCCAGTGGGAGCCACAATCGGCCGAACCTGCGGATGCAGCAGGTAAACAAACCAGTCCGGCCCACCAGGGGCTTTCCCTGAACAAACGGCTGACTGGCTTTGAGAATCACTGGTGTACCCAACTATTTTTAGCTCACTAGCATGAGCTCCACCAGCAAAGGCCTATCGACTTGGGCTTGGCAGCTTGCCCCCAGATGCAATGGACCCTTTATGGGGCCCCTCTTCTCTTCAGTCAAAATAATTTTCTGGGATTAGTTTTCTCCCGTCCTCCACCCCACAGGCATCACAGTGTATGTCTACACTCCAATTAGACACCCATGGCTGGTCTGTGCCAGCTGACTTGGGCTCATGGGGCTTGGGCTGTAGGACTGTTTAATTGCAGTGTAGACATTCCAGCTTGGCTGCAGTCTGAGCTCTGGGACCCTCCTACCGCACGTGGTCCTCACACCTCTGCGTAAAGGGGATCCACTGCTCGTATTGGATTGTTGGAGCAACTCTGTTCTGGGCCTGCTCTGAGCTCCTGGTGTAGGAGGCATTTCATAGTCAGGCCAGAGATGAGAAGAAAAGGGGAGTATGGCCAGAATAGAATCCACTCCTGTTCTTCTCTGATAGAGTTGAGCAAATACTTGATTTTTTCAGTGTAATGGCCAAACATTTTTTATTTTGAACTTAATTTTTTTCATCTCACCAAGACAAAAATTAAAAAAATTAGCTTAGATTGAATGGATTGACATGTATGGAACAAAATGTTGATTTAGAATCAACTTCTTTGAATTTTGATTTTTTTTCCCTTTGTTTGTTTTTTTTATTCAGATGAAAGTATTGGCCAAATTTACCCTGAATTTGTGAATAGTTTGTTTTCCTGAAACTGAATTTTTTTTGGCAATTTTACTCTTCACTGAAATTTTTTTTTGCCCAGCTTTATTCTCTGATTCCCATACTCCATTGTGGGCAAGGCAGCCCCCAGCTGCGCCAGAATAGAGAGGACAAAAGGTGACGTGAAGGAACTTTTGCTCCGTCCTTCCTGCCTCGTTCCAGCTCTGAGTGTAGAGATAGTATAACACAGAATCAGAGCCTAAATATTCAAAAAGCTGCAAAGACAAACCTCCATGTAACCTAGACAGTAAGAACTGGCTTCAAATTGGTAAGAAGGGAAAAGCTGAAACATGAGGTGGGCTGCTGTGCAGATTTTTTTTCTGATAACCTGGTATCTGGTATGTCATATGTCTTCCCAAACTGTACAATTTAAATTTTCTTTTGTTTTTTCTCCCAAGACTTGGTGTCTTTTATGGTATTTTTCTAGTGGTGGGAGGAGAGAGGGTAATCTTGTACAAATTATTCACAGAAAAAATATCTTTCGGAATACTTTTTTTCTTTGTGGCAACTGTTGTTGCCATTTATTTTTTCTAGCTATTGGGTGTGGTGAAAGGGAGCACATAATAGATTACTGTCAGGTCCAGGTGATTTGAGACCAGCAGATTTCAATTTGCCTGCGGTAATTAAGTCAATCAGCAGGAATTAATTATAATCTGGAATTACCAAAAAAAATCCACCCCAAAATCTGGTAACGAAATAGGAAATGTAGTGGTGGTTAACATGACCAGTGAGATTTAAATTTATAAAATCTGTGTAGTTTTTAATATTTGGGAAAAGCTTATTAAAATACTTCTTCGTATAATATATATCCAAGGAAGGTTCAGTCTAATTATGCTAGTTACCATACCAACATTGAAATGTGGTTACAACTTTTTGAAAATGTCTATTACAAAAGCACAGAGCATCTTTTCAAGTGCATTCAGTTCACATTTGTCCCCAAAAGAGAGCTATTTATTTTTGTTCTTAAGAAACATATTAGGATAGCATGGGATATTCTGGAAAAAAAAAAGTTTATGTGAACATACGCTAATCACTTTTAGCTGCTTCTCCTCTTGTTATGAATTTAAGCAACAAAATTGTTATTGCTATCCTGGTCTTCATGAGATTTTAAATCTATTTAAATAGATGCATTTTTTTGTGTCCAGTTGAGTGCTTACATTCATAGAGTAACTTCTTAAGGTCAAAAAGTTCACTATTAAGAAGGATATTTTTTTTCTGGGGGAGCATGCTGAACAGTTCTTCCAAAGGAATACATTTCAGAAGAAAAAATGTTAAGGTATTTTTATACATTTTTTTTCCTGAATGTCGTAAATTGCTTTTATATACATTGGCAATATATAAAGCATTACAGTTATCCAGCTATAAAGAACATAGGGAGCTAAGGACAGGATGCATGGACATAAACTAGTGACATTTCTGAAAGTCATAAAAAACCACCCCCAAATTCCTCAATTTAGCAAACGTCCCATACTGTAATAGTCTATGGCTGCTCCATAATTACCAGTTATCTTCATATCTGCTTCAAAGAGCAAAGTTTAGTTCCAAAACCAGACTTTTATCAGACAAAGAAGTGGGAGCTCCACTGACTTCTCTATTAGGATGGACCAATGATCAAGTCTGAAGTTCAGTACAGTAGATGGCAGAAGTACATATATACATACAAGATACTATGTTATGCTATTAGACATCTTCCTTTTCAACATTAGCTAGCAACCATCAAGGGAACTGGAATCTTTGTAGAAGTGGGGACCACAGCAAACGTGTTCCTTCCTTCTCTGCAGCTGGCTGCTCCAGCAGTGAGCCGGCTGCTCTCTTCTGGTGCCACAGCAGCCCCTGGTGGGAGCTGTGTAAAGCTCATCCTCATATTGGCTAGACTCTATTCAATACTGCTTTTCTTTTGGGGGTAGGGTGGCAATCTATAATCCGGGGGTAGGGGGGGTGGGAAGAATCTGCAGGGGACATGAATTCTGCGCTTATGTTTATTTAAAAAGGGGGGCATGGCCTCCTGGCCCCTCCGATTCCAGCGCTGGTGATGACCACTGAAGTGTCTGTCTTACAGGTATTCACCAAATTCTTCCTTTCCTAAATGTATCTAATATTCTCTAGATGAAGAGTAATGTCAGCTGTTCGGTATGCTTCTCAGCCCTATATAGCCATACCATGTACATCAGGAAACACCAGAACTGTATCTGTATTTGGATATCTGTGTGCTTGTGTTCTTCAGAACCTTATGCATGTTTGAGGGATTACATTCTAATATTTTTTGTGGGGTTGTTTTTGTGTGTTCTTTCAGGCGTGCACTGAAGGGATAATGGAAGTTATTGAGGCATTCAGTTGAAAGTCCTAATAATTGAACGTGTTCCTAATTATTTTTTGAGTAATAGGAATTGTGACCTAGCAGGTAGTATGGTTATATGTAGCAAGTTTTCCAGGCACAAATGCCTTGCAGCAGTCAGTTGGACAGCAGCATTATTATCTCATTATTCTGTATTCCAGATAGAAGAAAACTTCAAATCAGGCGATGAACCTACATTTCTTTGGCATCTTCCATTTTAGGAGGGAATTGGGGTCCTCAGGAATCGTTTTCTTCCAGTGCCTGACAACCCTAGCTTTCATTTTCCCATTAGTCAGTGAAGAACAAGAACGCAAATATACAGTAAAAATGTTCATACTTCTGGGTGGATTTTACACATTCCTATGGAGGAAAGTGTATTAAGTCTCTTGGGACTTGCATTTAAACATCAGAGAGCAAAACCAGGTTAACTTACCACCTCAGCATGGGTGAGAGGACATTACATAAAGTATTCTGACAAATTACAATGGTATGTTACTAGTTAAGGACTTCTTTTCTCTCTGTGTCTGATCAGATATCAAGAGGAGGAAGTGTGGTACTACAACGGCACTGGTGGCAGTTTCAGCTAAGACATGCCTCATTTCTTCCCTCACTTCTAGTTGTCTCATGTTGCTTTTTCCTTTTGCTTTGATATCACTCTGGTACATCAGATTTCCAATAAAAGTTCGTCTTTTAAAGCTTGTAGCTCATGGCATGTCCCCGCATGTATAACATGTACTACATGCGGGGGTGAAAGTAAGGTAAAGGATTTACCGGTATGCCGGAGTCCTGAGCAGGGGGCGTGGTCTCAACCGGAAGAGGCGTGGTCTCAACTGGAAGAGGGGGGCCTTTAAATACCCAGGCCCTTTACATCAAGATTTAAAGGCCCTGGAGCTACCAGCTGCAGAGGTGGCTGGGAGCCCAGGGCTCAGGGGCCATTTAAAGGACCCAGCGCTCCAGCTGCCGCTACCGCAGCAGAGCTCTGGGCCCTTTAAATCACTGCTGGAGCCCTGCCGCCACTACCCCAGGGGCTCCGGCAGCAGGGCTCGGGTGACGATTTAAAAGGCCTGGGGCTCCCAGCAGTGGCCGGAGGCCCGGGCCCTTTAAATCACCACCGGAGCTCTGCTGCTGCTACCCCGGGGCTCCGGCAGCAGGACTCTGGAAGCGATTTAAAGGGCATGACGCTCTGGCCGGTGCAGGGAGCCTCGGGCCCTGTAAATCACCAGTCTGGGGAAGCCGGTCCAGTCCAGCACAGCATACCGACTTACTTTCACCTCTGACTACACGGCAACACTAAGAAATGGATGAATATTCTTTTAATTTCAATTTCCAAAGTGCAGCAATAACTTCAGGTGCAAGGGTGAAGGTACGCTATAAATATGAATAAAGAAATTGCCGGGGAGGGGGGGCCTCATTAGAGGGACAGCTTACCATGGTTTATCATAGTTATACATACCCATCAGATTCAATGGTCAATCACTGCAAGATTTGTCCATAATCTAAACACCAAAGGTTTTCTTACATGATAATGGGGAGTGTCCAGATGTGAGGGCTGTTAGGTTCCTAACTCTCTTAGG